TATTTGTATACAACCGGGAAATACCCCCACCCCAAACCTAGACATTATGATATTCAAAAGGATGTTATTGAAGTCGAGACCATTTATTTATACGAAAACTTGTACCTCATCAGCTTAAAGTATATTCATCAAACATTGACTGAGGACCAATTAAATACTATTTTATAAAAAAAAAGAGTGTATATATACAGAATGGGACTGTACATGGTCGTGGATGAAGTAGCAAAAACACTGGAAACCGTAGACGGGTTTCTTTTGCAACAAATATGCGAGATCAAACAACAACTAGAACGTGAACACGATACGCCGCCGGCATTACAGAAAAAAACATCACAGGGCCGTCAATTCCGTGGACGGTGTTGACAGCGCTCTTGTTTCAGTCAGCGTGGGATTAGGCGTAGCAGGTATCGGGTTATTATCCACCATCTTGGCCGCACCCGTGGTGCTAGGCATCGAAATAACAGCCGGAGTGGTAGGGTTGATGGGATTGACCCTTAAGTATGTGTCTCGCAGACTGCAACGTAAAGCATTGAAACATGACGAAATTAGAATTCTAGGCGAAGCGAAGTTAAACACTATAGACGATCATATTTCAAATGCGCTCACCAACTCTAAAATCTCCGAAGAAGAGTTTTGTTTGGTGCTATCAGAAATCGCAAAATATCACAGAATGAAACAAGAGATTCGAACCAAGTCGCGTAAAAACGCGGTCATTTGCGAAGACAAGAAAAAAAAAATCATAGAACAAGGAAACCAACAAGCCTGACAAGCCTTCATTACGAAAACCAAACAAATCATAGAAGGAAATGCACAATAAACTGTTTTGCGGACATCAACATAACGTAGCCAGCCATCTCAGCGAGCTGTAGGTAAATAGACGAGCCAAGACACATACACACTGCGACTCGCCCACAGTGCTTGCTCAAAGCTACCGAGACAGCAGCGAGTCGACCCAGGGGAACTGCCGAGAGATGATTTAGTGGAAATCAACATAACGTTGCAGGCTGCCAGCCAGTCGGCTGTATAAGCCGATCCGAGCAACACACTGCGACTCGCCCACAGCGCTCACTCGGTGATACCAAGACGACGACCCAGGGAGGAAACTGCCGAGAGATGCGTTTCATTCACTTTCAGACATCTGTAGCCTCGCTAGTCAGCCAGCCATGCATCATCATAGTCGATCCGAGAGACACACACACTTATACTCGTCCACGGCGCTCGCTCAAACCAACCCCCGAGACGGTAGCGAGGTCATGACTTCCGAGACCTGCGTTTCATTCAGCTAAAAACACCTCTCGCCTCAATAATATATAGCAAGTAAGACAATACGTTGGATTTTTACCCTTTCGCCAGACCGACCCCATGCTTTCCTAAACTATTTGACCGATTTTCGTGAAATTTTGCATGCATCTCGGCAGATGGTTACGATATAGCATTACGTGATTGGGAACACTCTCGATGACGTCATTAGATTAATTAAGACTTAATACGACAAAAAGTTGGACATTTTGCCTTTTCCCGACCGAACCCATGCTCACTTAAAAGTCAATATTTCAGAAAGTATTCGACCGATTTTCATCACATTTTGCATGCACCTCAGTAGTAGTATACACAAGAGGGGTACGGGATTAGGTTCCGTAGCCCCATTGTGTATACTACTCGCTGTAACCTTGAAAATTGTGTGAAGGTCACAAAAATCGACTGGACCCCGCGTCTTATCTATATGACTATATGAAGCTTGGTGTCAAATATGATTAAAAACCAGCAAATGGTTCTTGAGGTATCTCACTGACAAGCTTAACATGCAGGTTAACATGCTGAAATCTTCAGTGTCGCTGCGACCTTGAAAATTAAGTGAGGGTGACGACACTCGACTGGGCCTTGCGCCGTCCCTATATGAAGATTGGTTTTAAATATGAAGGAAATCCAGTGAATGGTTCTTGAGATATGTTGCTGACAAGCTTAACAGTGAGTGAGTTAAGGTTTACGCCGCATTCAGCAATATTCCAACTATATGGCGGCAGTCTGTAAGTAATAGAGTCTGGACCAGACAATCCAGTGATCAACAGCATGAGCATCGATCTGTGCAATTGGGAACCGATGACATCTGTCAACCAAGTTAGCGAGCCTGACAACCCCATCCCATTAGTCGCCTCTTACGACAAGCATGGGTACTGAAGATCAAAATTCTAACCCGGACCTTCACGGATCGACCAGCTTAACATGCAGGTGAACATGCTGAAAATTAAGTGAAGGTCACCAAAATCAACTGGATACTGCGCCTTCCTTATATGAAGCTTATATGAAGCATGGTGTCAAATATGAAGAAAATCCAGGGAACGGTTCTTAAGGTACCTCGCTGACAAGCTTAACATGCTGAAATCATGAAAGTGTTGCTGTGATCTTGAAAATTAAGTGAAGGTTACCACACCACAGTTGACTGGGCTCTGCGCCTTCTCTATAGAAAGCTTGGTTTCAAATATGAAGAAAATCCAGTGAACGGTTCTGAAGATATAGGGTAAAACGTTAAAAGCCCCCTTGTGACCCTTAAATGGAGGTCAAGGTGACCAAGCCTGACAGGGACCTTTCGCAAACTGTGATGAGCCTAGGTACCATGTATGAAAATAATCTAGTCAACGGTTCATAAGATATTCCAATTCGTACGGACGGACGGATGGAGCCTAATACTATATCCCCTGCTTCACGCTAAACGCGCGGCGGGGGATAGTAATGGATCATATGCTGAGTGACATTCCTGGTGCTCATGCTGTCATGGATGATATCCTCAAGAGAGTGCTCAACAAAGACACTTCTTACGACCTCCAACTGAATATGGACAGGTGAAATATGTAGGGCATCTTATCACAGCAGATGGGTTGAACGTAGATGCAGACAAAAGTAGAAGTCATCGTGAATATGCCTGAACCCGACAGCAAGGAAGCAGTCAGACAGTCCTTGGGATTTGTTACTTTCCTGTCTAATTTCATTCCAAATCTGAGCGAGATTGATTCGCCTATCAGAGTCTACTGAATGATCGAATGCTGCGTTTGATTGGCAAGAAGCACATAAAGAAGCTTTCAAGAAGCTTAGACATGTCTGTGTCTGAGCTATTATGGTGTGATGCGGGCCAAAACGGTCTGGGTGTAGTGTGGATGCAAGGGGGAAAGCCTGTTGTACTAACGGACACTGAAAGGCGCTATGCGCAAATAGAGAAGGATATGTTTTCCATCGTACACGCCTGCAAGAACATGCAGATACAGAGTCTGACAAGTTGTGAGCTTTACAATCTCATGCACATCATCAGAGATGGTTGGCCCGAGACAAAGCAAGAATTTCCGGTCTTTGTTTAACACACTTGGCGAACTTTCAACATGTGATGGTATTATCTTCAAAGGTGTGAGGATAGCAATACCACCCAGTCTACAGAATGATATGCTGCTGTTAGTTCACAAGACCCACCCTGGCATTGTGAAGTGTAAGCAGAGGGCAAGAGAAGTCATGTACTGGCCTGGAATGAATGCGGACATTGAGCAAATCGTTCACAACTTTTTCAAATGTGCAGACTTTCAAAATACTCTCCCTAAAGAACCAAAATGCCAAAACCATGACAGTTTTGAGAAATCACGAATCGTTCATTATAAGGTCTTGCTCACATAGTCAATGATGGGTAGTGATGTACTATATTTAAATTTGTACTGGATTTGGACAGAAAGTACTGGATGCTGCTGTAGGGTGCTACAACCATTAATATGGGTTGCTGTGAATCTTCTGGAGTCTTTTACTTTAGTATATACTGGGACGGTGGGGTATCATTGTGGTTAAAGCATTGGCTCGTCACGGGTACAATGTGTGAAGCCCATTTCTGGTGTGCCCTCGCCCTGATATTGAATATTGCTAAAATCGCTGTAAAACTAAACTCACTCAGTTTGGTATGTAAGGGGAGCTAACTCTGGCTTCTCATCTGACATTACATCTCAAGTCGCCACAAGACCAGCATTGTCTCATTAGCATTTCATATTCAGCGTAGGACTATTGTTGTACTATTACTGGTGCTGAGAGATGAATAGTATCATCACTGCCTTTATTGCTATAATCACTGCTCTTGTATTTTATTTCGTTCGAATCTGTACTGCCACTCTATTTTGTCATAGTGATACTTCAGCAGTTGGTAAGGTTTTGGTCTGAAGTGGACACACTGCTGCTGATTTTGCCATGTTTCATGGAATAAACAACGATTTTCAACATTGATTAGTAAATTTTCAAAGATAAATGATATGTACAACAAATCTTTTGAGTAGTTATAAATGTTAATAATTTGTATATGAGTTTAAGTTGTGTAAAACGTAAATGTTAATCAAAGTTTTTCTTTGATTTTTGAATATACACGTTATGTAATATGAGCAGGAATTATCACAATAGAGAATTGTTTAGATCGAGAACTGACCTGCCACTGATAAAATATTGTTATGTTATATAGCTTTAAAGGCATCGTAATTAAGAAATTAAAGTTTTCTTACAAGTTAAATATAATTAAATTCATCTTAGTAAAGAGAACAATACAGGAATTTCTCGAAATAGTTTGAATTATATCATATATCCGCTGGTATTGTAACACGGGGAAAATTCGTTCAATGTGAACATATCACTTGAAACAGGAAAGTGTGGGAGAAAGTTTGCATTCCTCAGAAAGGTTATTCCATAGATTGAGTGTGTCTGGCATGAACGAGTGCTAGTGACTAGCAGTACCATCATGTGGAATACTATTATTGTTTATGTTTATGAGATTGTTGTGACTACTGGAGGCTAGTCTTGGTGGTTAAATACATTTACATTCAAACGCTCAGTACTATTGTCTCGCCATGAGCCGTCGTGGCATCAAAAGCCTTTGAAAGAGGCAAAAGTACTAGCGAATCAGTAAAGTAATCTACAAAACTTCTGAATCTACATTTTTGCTTTAGACTAGTACGTTTCTTATTTTACATGTTATTGTCATCCCACAGATATGAATTGCTTGTGAAGGATGTCGTGGACACCACGTGGACTCATGTAGCTGCTGTATGGTCAAGAAATCGTCTCACTGTGTATGTAAGAGGGATGGCTGTAGCAGAAAAAGAATATGAAAGTGCACCCAGGTGTCCTTCGCCAACAACATCAGTTATGACAATAACTATCAGGGATCATGCATGTGAGTTACTTTACATTTGTTCATAAGACCCAGTGGTTAATGATATTAGGTGTTGATATTGGGAACTGAGATCAATATGTAGTTCCTCTGCTTACCTTTTAGTATAATACCTCTTCGCAACTCATTCAAAGCTATTTGACAGCGATGTGTATTTTAGAACATATGTTTACACTTCCGGCTCATGACAGCAAAAATACCCGGTGAAGAAAAGGGCAGGTTTTACTGTCTCTTGTCACGTGTTGTATCCAAACTGAAACTAAATAGTTCACCAGGAATGAGATTGTAAACGAACTAAATGTGAAACCAACAAAGAATATAGAAATGTGAGTGAGTGTGTGAGTTAAAATTTATAGTCACATCGGCAGTAATTCAACCATATCGTCCTCCTCCGGGAGATAGAGAAACTGGAGGCGCTTCTATTTTGATTCATCAGAGCGTCATACATAGCCATGCCACTCTAAATACGAATCTTCAAACTGTTTCTGTTCGCCTGACTCTGCACATTGCTCTGACATTGTGCAGCTTGTATATCCCCCCGTCTTCTAATATTCTACAGTCAGATCTTCAAAATATGTATGATCAACTTTCAAAGCCATGTGTTATCATGGGCGATCTTAACGGACACAACTTGCTTTGGGGAAGTGTCCATACCAATAATAAAGGTAAAATCCTTGAGGAATTCATTTCCGATAATAATTTATGATGATTCATTAAGATGATTCAGCCACTTATTTATATCCAGCTACGGGAACATATTCTTCCCTGGATCTGTCACTAGCCACCTCCATCTTGTATAATGAATTCGAATGGATGGTCCATGATGAAATGTGGAAGTGATCGATCCCCTACAATTCTTAAAACAATAAACCCTGGTGATGATTCACCTTTATCGAGAAGGAACTTCTTCAGGGCTGATTGGTCATTATATGAGACACTATGTGCTGATCACTTTAAACATGATGTATTTGCGAACAGTGAAGATCCCATACGGTTGTTTTCCGATTTACTGAATGACATTGCTGACCAAACTATACCCAAGTCCTCTGCAATTCCACATATTCGTAAACCATGGTTCAATAATGAATGTAAACAGGCCAGAAAGAGTAGGAAGAAAGCGAAAAATATTTTCGCAAACATCCTACAGTGCATAATTCAGACAAAGTTAAAATTTTAAATGCCAAGGCTCGACGCGAATTTAAACAGAATAAGCGTCAGTCTTGGCGAAACTATGTTTCCAAAATAATTTCGTGCACACCGATTTCAATGGTGTGGAAAATGATACAAAGAATAAACATAGCATACCACTACTAAAAGAAACTATTAGAAGTGGTATGCTTTGTGACTGTGAGTGCATGAATCAAGCCCATTAATATGACGTGACATCAGCCTTAATTCATCACAAACACCCACTGTTCATTTAACATCAGAAGTGTGGTTCTTGTCTGGCCTACCCTCCTGGCACATGGCTAGGGTATTCAGATCACGAAAGTTTCTACTGCTACTGAGATTCAAACGCTGGACCTTAATATTGAAAACCCAGCTTTGTTACCATCACACTATGGAGGCCACTGATAGTGCTCAGCGAATGAGAGCTACTTATCGATGCGAGCTGTACACCTGGCGATAGAGAGAGAGAATCGGTCCACCATCATTCAACCATATTTTTACTCCCGTAGGAGCAATAGATATGAGGGACCTGGTCCAAAACTATCATTAAATAACGTTGCCAGCCAGCCTGCCAGCCAGCCAGCTCAGCGAGCTGTAGGTGTAGAGCCGAGCAGAGAGACACACACACACTGCGACTCACCCACAGTGCTCGCTCAACTCCAGACTTGGAAAAACAATTGTGAACTTTGACCTGTGAATTGTGAACTGTCAACTCTGACACACGGCTGGCTGGCTCAACATAGACTAGGAAAATCGAATACCGAGACCAACGGGAGCCGTGGTGGCTAAGTCCGCTAAGCTGCTGGGGTCAGCTTGCTTTCCTGCAGCCGCGCAACTGTGTGATTGTGAGTTCGTATCCCGTTTTCTAGCCTCTATGATTTCCTTGCAACTTTCGAAACTTTCGGTAAGGTTATCTAGAACGGGGCGCTCTCGTCAAGAGTACGCAGCTGGGTGCAATCTGACGAGGGAGGAAGCTTGCGCACCTCTCTATTTCTTTCTCTCTTGTGGGGTTGTGAGTGCAGTGGACATTTTGTTAACATATTTTTCATGCTCTCAGTCAGACAGACGTTGCCTAGCCACTATGAACAAATACGGCAATTTACGTTGAACATTTAGCCTTTTGCCAGACGGACCCCATGCTCACTAGAAAGTAAATATTTCCCTAACTATTCGACAGATTGTCGTGAAATTTTGCATGTACATCCGCTGTAGTATACACAAATTAAGGCCTTGGGAAGGACCTGAGCCCGTTCCACCATTGTGTATACTACTGGGCAAAGTTTCAAAATCTTCCGTTCACCATTTAAAGGCCGATGATAATATATAACTGACAAGGCTTACATTGCCAATAAGCTTGGTGAAACTCTCGCCAAACACTCGTCTTCGTCCATTTATGTCTCTGAGTTTCAGAAACGTCAGAAACAACAAGAGAAGAAAATAATTAATTTTAACTCATTAAGCCCGAGAGCCACCTCACTACTCAACACCTGGAACCCCTCGCTGATTGTCCACTCGCTGTGCCGAGACTAATTAGTGCTATTCACACCTGATTTCCCTGGCAGGTTTCGGGGATGACAGGAAACTGTCTAGTCGTACAAACAAGTCCTGATTGCTTAATTGTGTCGTAAAAATATATGTTGAAGGAAAGCAGGTGTGAATACATATCGTGTATTGCAAAGTTTTATGTAATTTGATTGCAAGTTTCTCTTGTAGACCTTTGGCGGCTTGTACATTTATATTTTATCACAATATGCATGTATTCTTTGTATGTAAGAGATGAGTACGCACATAAACAAATTATTTCTCTCATATCAGTGTGTAAGGTTTAAATTTACAAAACATCTATGACAATGATATACTGCAAAGAAGAATTTACTTACATACTTTATAAGCTTCGATGAAAATAGCGTTTTTGCCGATACATTTCTAGTGTATACGAATTATTTTAATGAAAGTACTATTACGCTAGTCTGTGACTAACATAGAGCACATTCATAGCTTGGCACTTTGTTTCATCTAGATTTAATGCAGAAAACATACGTGACCATACAAACATACATATAAAAAATGTACACTACATATTCCTTGCATAGACATAAAACAAAGAGTCACGTGATAGGGCGTCATCAAATTTCCCGAATAGAACGTTCGTTATCTCAACTGTTCAATATAGTGGCTGGTCATATGTTATCTGTGACCAATCGTATCATGAGATACCTGTCACAGAGGAAGTGACAGGTGATGGGGCGTGGGCGAAATTTCTGAAGAGCACGTTTGGTGACTCAACAGCTTGGATAGAGATTGATTATTGGCTATATCGTTGACCAGTCGATATGCTGGGTTTCGGCTCTATCAACTCAAGCTATCATGTAATAGTTTTTGTCTTGTAAACATACACACTGGTAACGATGTATGAAATATACAAATAAGACAAAAAGGAGTAGATAGACACTTTGGCGAGTTTATTTGACCTCATTTTAGTGTTTTTCGATAAGTAAAACAAAGCGATTGAAATCCAACCATTGAGTAGAGATAGTATTCATTTTCATATACATTTTACGCACACAACTAGTACATAAAACATAATGGTTTGCTGTACATGTAAATATAATCTTCACCTTGATACGAATGAATATCCAAACTAAAGTACACGTATTACAGAATTCACGAAATGACAGTATACTGAATTATTATTGTGTATAAAGTTGCAGTTTCACCCCCACCCCAAATATTTATGAAGGTGGGCGTGCCTATATTTATACTGAATGCAAACGAGGTTCTTAAGATTACAGATGTGCATGCATGCATAAACATTACAGAGAGGGGCGTGACTCCATAAAGCAAGTTGTCCAATGATATAATAGCGCATGTGTTTATTTTACACTTGTCACGGGACAAACCTTTCAACAAGGACGTAACTACATATGCATTCTACCGGAGGCTGTTATTTCAAGGTCGAAAGAGGTGTTCAATTATCTCATTACTGTAATCTGATTGAATGATTATACGTATGTGTATCAATACCGTAACTGATATACTATCCAGCTTTTATTGACGATGGATCAATAGAGACTGAGTTCATTGATACACGTGATAATTACACCGGATTTGATAATTACAGAGATCAAATGCAAATGTTTTACACAATGCTCATGTAAATTGCATAGGAAACTGACCATTCAAATCAACATGAAACTTTCAACAGCTTGAACAAAAATGCTTGAAATACCTTTGTATGGTTTACATGTAATAACTTATGATATTACTTCTGTTTAGGTGTGAGGATTTTTTGAATTACCAACTTACTGTGTTTTGTAACAAACGTAGTAAAAGATTTCATTGTTGTAATAACACTGACATGTATATATATTCGATGCAAAGGCGTGACTTATCACTTTATATTCGATTAGGTAACATTATCAACTTTAGATTATGGAAAATAACTAGTTACAATTCAGTAAGCTTCAAATTAGTAAGTTAAATTATGCTTAATCTATTCGAGCTTGGATGTATAGTTATTTGTGTTTATACATTATGTTTCATTATATGAAACATGACAACGTAATAATACCTAAAAAGTAAATTCAAACTATTCTATTGTGTTTGAATTCTTTGTATGTCCTTGAAATTTCGTATATTGTTTCCTATTTATTAGGAAGTTGAAGAAAATATAATCTTCAGTAACCTCTAAACCATTACATCTAATTCAATCAATGTGCATACGAAGTATTTTAGTATCCATTCCCAATGAAGAGTACCAGACACTTACCTCTGTAAAAACATCAATCCCTTTCTCGCCGACATGTGTTCATTTGCCAAACGCTGTACAAGCC